GGCTGCAATGCCAATAGATAAGCATCCTGCCACGGCCAGCCTGCAGTCCCGATCTCAATCCAATGGAACATATCTGGGGCATAATAGTCAGACAGGTTTCTGCGAATAACTGTCAGTTCCAGAGCACAGAAGAGCTGAACCGGGCGATTATCGAAGCATGGAGAGCAATCGATGAGGAACTCTTCGAAACCTAGTTTCTAGTATGCCACGAAGGCTCTTTGATATTGCTCTTAAACAAGGAGGAGCTATAGATTATTAACTGCTGTACTTATGCCATCAACATTAATAAATCATTTACTTTCTCAGGGTGACCTTATAATTATGAAACGGTGCAAAACCCGACACTAATTCGTAAAAAATTCGAGGTGAAGGATACTGCGACCAAAATTTGAGTACGGAGTACTTTGTGACGAGGAATCTACCGGTGTTTGCCAAAAAATTCCATTCCGGCTGCTTTCTCAAGAATCGCAAAAATCTGGGGTGACCTTATAATTATGAAACGCACTGTATAGGTTCCTTCCTGTACTCTCGAAATTGAGAGTGAGAAAGGAAAGAAGAGGACTCTCTGACAACCGGACACCACTTTGCAGCCGCTTGCTTCAAAGGCTGTCATAAAGCAACAAAAAACGTATGCATCGAAATAAAGAACAGAGCCACTTAAGAGTTACAAGATAGTGATTCCAGAAAAACAATGAGCAAAGGAATAATCGCGTTTTCAGTACTCTCCTGTGACCAATCATCTAGTGTCCCAAACGAACCCGGACACCACTGCACCGGGTAAGAAGGAAAAAAACATTCTAATTACTAATGCACAACACTGGCAGTGTCGTTACATGCTTAGTGTGGGAATTTATACATTAATCTTCGTGAGTCAATATTCACACGAATAGAGGAATAAGCAATGCCATGGACACGTGGGTAATCATTCAAGATAGAAGAAGATCGTACCATTCTCAGAGGTACATAGGAGAAATTGATGCGGTGTTTTTCAGAATCAGTAAAAAGAAAAGCGTGTTTCTACCACAATCATTTACAGAGCAGAGCAAGGAACAACTAAAAACTCACAAGGCTGTTCAAGCGCTCCAATTCCATATTGAACGCTTCGTTTGGTACAGCCATCTTTTCCAGAATCTCGTTCTGTGTCTCCCTAAAAAGACAATGAACCTCAAAATAGTAATGAAAGCGTGCTAGTATCAACCCACTTGATCTCCTCGAGCAAGCTGAGCACTCGTGCAGACTCTGAGTTCATCCCTAAGTCGACGCTCATCTGAATTGAAATAAATGAAGAGATTGTGGACAATATAAGGCAGAGCGACTGCTTGAAATAACATGAAGCACAAGAAAGCAGTGGTTAGAAGAGGTAACGATAGAGTTATCAATGAAACAATAAGAGCTTGGACGATAAGAGAAAGGGTGAAGCTAAGTTCAAGGAAGTAGAAGTAAGGAGTGAGGAAAAGTAATTGGCATGGAAATTGGAAAACGAAAACATCAAAACATGTACATTTGAACTACATAGCTACTTCCAGCAGGACGAGAACCTATTGCTTCTGAGCATCATCTGAAATGACATGCTTGAAAATAATTTATTTATCAAATTTTCAATCTTGACAAATTGTGAAATCTTCCAGAGTACAATTGAATCTAGAACTTTAACGAAAAAGACGAAACCCGGAGGAACCCAACATTCAATCTAACTGGCAACTGAAACGTCCATAACAAATGGGATGAAAACACCGTCTTAAAAACTAAAAACTATCTACCAAAAGCAAAGGGAGAAGGTCAATGGCCAGAAGGGTAAGAAATTGCTATTTGTTACAGATCTATACTTACACTAAATGAGGTAAAAACAAAAGTAGCTAAAACTCTGTAGAACATCGTTTCTGAAACTAACAATTATTGAGTCTATCAAGGCTATGTGAATACTCTGTCATAATCAATCTCCTAAATTTCAGGGTCGAAACCAAAACAAACGAAATGAGTGCCAGTTATCTGCTTAGGCTCAGAAGTCACAAAAACGCGTCGAATAAACATAACCATATCATGTGCATGACAGACGCAGCAACAGATAACAGCGAAAAATATTAGGTCGATCCGTGATTTGACAACCATTTTACCAACTTCACAATACAAATAGTATCACTGGACTTCCTAATTCATAGCACTCATCGAGCTTAAGTGTCCTTTCACACTCCTCAACGCTCCTACGTGACTTTTTGCGTAACTGACCCACAAAACGACATTAAAACATACACACGCACACACAGAGTTAGCGCTTTACGTTGCACCGGTCGCCTGGCCTGGCTAAGGCCGGGCTTTACTTCACTCACTACAAGCTATAGTAATCGGCCTAACCCAAGTCTATTTTTGTAACAAATGATCTTTTACTGAATACGAAATTCGACAAAGGCACTGCACTTTGACACAGGACACTAAAGGAGGGGAGCTTGGCCTAAACAGAGCAGTGCAAGCGACCTCACGCCTATGATTAGAAGTCTCGATCAGTTACCCATCATCTTAAATATCACCTATCAAGGACCCTGTTAAGCAACCAAAGCCTTGAATGGTACTCACAGTCATTGCCGAAAGGTAGGAATACTATTATCAGAAGTCGTTATCAATGGAACTTCCTTCCTCAACGGATACATTGGCGATCGTTCAAGTTATGATATCGAACAAAGGGAAACCGTAATCCCTCAATGAGTCAAAAAACTTGTTGGGTAGCGGTCAAAATATAACAGCAAGAAATAAACAGTATTTTCATCTTTTCATAATGAAGCGCGCTTGATCGGTCCTTACCACTGAACTTGCCACTCCTTTTTCGTCATCCAACTCTATCACCATACTAAAGGGCCAAGTCTTCACCGCGAACACCAAAGGCGTTAGGATTCACCTGTTGAATGGCTCTTGCTCCCGAGCTGCTTTCTGCACTCACGATTTTTTTTTTNTTTTTTTTTCTTTCACACTCTTCCGACCCTAAACTCTAAGCAAATTCTCAAAAAGTAAAGATGCTCGGATGCAGCAACAACTTTCCTTTGCATTGGCAATGCATTACATGGTGTTATATAGTATAACATTCTACACTGAACGAACGAACCAGGGAAATGATTATATTAAAAATTAAATTTCGAAAATAGTGATTTTGACTTTGTGACTTGACCTAATGGCTTGTGATTCCTCTTTCATATAGCAAAGCACATTAACAGTGAACTCCATGACTTCGAATATGCGACTTGACATTGTCTTTGCGAGCGATACCTCGTCCACAGATTGGACAACTGTGCTTCTTCTCTCCAGAGTGGACCAACCGGTGGCGACGCAATGTACTTCCGTCGGCGAAACTTCTCTCGCACGTTTCACACTGAAGAATAACTTCAAAACAGAAGAGAAAAAGGGAAATCAATCCCGAAACAACTAACAGTGAAAGGTTTTTCACCAGTATGAGTTCTCAGATGAGCCTTGAGATAGTTTCGTCGCCCTCGCTTGCCGCAATACTCACATGCATAAATCCTGAACAATCACACTACAGAAGCACACTAGATAAAACATAAGTCGACAGTGAACTCAAAAAAAATATGTATTTCATATGAAAAGCAGGGTCGATAATTTGACAGGTAGGCCCAATAACAAATTTAAGAGGTACCTATTCGTATGCCTCCTCATATGTTGAATCAGATCTTGTTGATCCTCGGAAGGGCAAGCTTCACAGTTTCGCTTTTCCTAAACATGCGCAATGCGCTTGGGGAATGTTTTTTAAGTCATCTAACTCACTTTATTCACATGTGTCCTCAGAAAGTGATCTTCCATAACTTTAATATCCGGAGCCTGTTCTGGACAGAGCTGACACAGAATATATTGAGCAATACCAAGAAGAAGATTCTGAAGAGGATTTCAATCACGCTGAATAAAAGAATTATCGCCTTCAATAAAAGCAAATACATTTCATTAATTATTTCATACAACATTGCTGACCTGCGGTTGTTGCGTGCTCGATCCTTGATCGTTAGGTGATGGCGAAGGAGAATCGGATGACACTTCCTGCTTTAGTTCCCTCAGAAGGTTTCGCTTTTGAGAGTCATCTGAAACAGACGACTACCAACTGATTAGAGACTGTTTCGGAGGAAAAAACAACTTGAAAAACACTTAAGGTAGACCAACAAAAGTTGTAATCTAATTCAAACCTTGCTCTGCTTCAGCTTCTTCTGCACTCGTGCTATTGGATGATTTTTCACCTGCACGCCCAGGGTGAGAGCTGAAGTGAGCGAAGGTTCATGGAAAGGCTGAGAAATATGGACTAAAATATCTCTTGAAATATATTCACTATACCAACCTCATACAACCGCAGTTTCCAGAATGAGACTTTTTTTCAGAAACGAATGGAGGAACGTTTGGCGTCTTGAGCAGAAGTTTAAGCAGTTCCATTTCTTTCTCTTGCCATGTCGCTTTTTGTCTCACCTAAAAAAAATGCTCCCCTTACTGCTGCTAGCAGATTGAAACGGCTTGCGATGCTCACAGCTCCAAGTTCAGCTTCCATGGAGAGAAGTTGTCGTTCCAAAACCTTCCTTGCATTTCTTTCTTCAGTAAGGATAGCCTGAAAACTTGGTCTGGACAGAATGTAGAATGAATTCAGGTTGGAAGACATGATTGGAACTCTAGCAACAACTGCAATGCCATATATTCCTTTCTTCTACGTTTCAACAAACAAACAATGATGTTAGAAAAAAAATTGGCTAAAGTCCTACATCGTGCCTGCCAAAGTGACTTAGCATGAAAATAATCTAATAAAATAATAAAAACAAAATAATCTTTGCGCACCTTAGTTTCGTGTATAACGTTTAATAGGTGATCATTCATTTCTTGTGGGTCCGGCTTTCGTAATGGAAGTCGTAAAATGATGCCGTTCATATCGCAAACGAGAAAGAAGCCCCTTCCATCAGATTCAATTCGAAAAGGTATAAAGCTGTAAAGCAAGAATAACGTCCGACGATGCGATTACAGTCGATGAACAAGTATCGAAAAATCCATGACTTCACTAACCATTTATCAGTTTCCGAAGAAATAGATAATTGGTCGAAAATAGAGATCCATTCTCCCGCTTCTTCCGATTTGATTTCTCCAAAGAACAGAAGACTTGGATCACTTTCGCTAGATATCCGAACGGTGCATGAACCATCAGATGAGGAAAATATTTTCACACATAACAAATATAACCTGGAATACTTCAGATTCATGGTTAGCGCCTAGTTTATGCAAGAAAATGATAATGATTAAGAATAAAATTAATGATAATATGTAGCGAATGTTCGCACAACTTCCTAATAGAAGTTCCGAACAAATTCAATTCAATGGATGTTTAAAAAGTCAAATACCTGTTCCCAATTAAAACAGATGGGATGTTGCACTCTTTAGGGTCGGTTCCTTTCAGAACTGAATCAATTCCTTTCGATGCAACCGACGAGGCCATCGATCGAGAACACCTGAAAATGTAGTTTTGAACGGTTATTCCCTGCAATTCGTGAATAAAAAGCTTCTTGAAATAGAATATACGCTTATACTGAGTTCTGGGTAACTTCTTTGAAAAGTGAAGGATGATCAAGGCCTTTTATTACATTCTAAAAAAGGGCGAGGTATAGTTCGTTAATAGCATTCTGAAGCAAACAAGATGAGCTACACATTTTCTATCACGGTTTTCTCTATTGGGAATCAGATAATAGAGAAAAAGATGAAAATGAATGAAGATCTATAGGGGAAAATAGCCCGAATGAACATTATAGAAAAAAAATCAAGTAATCAGGGAGAATAAAGCTATCCTACGATTACAAACAGGATAAACTAGAAGTACATGAATGTTCCTCCCTAAAATGGACTTGAACCCTATGAAAAAACAACAACCAATTGCGAAATATCGCTATGTACTGATAAATGTCTTCAGAACTACGTGCGCGCATGATAAGGCGGTTCCCGGGCTGCTAACGAAAAGCTCTCTCGCGGAGAGGGTTTAGACAGAGAAACAGCGTCAGGCTTAAGTAGTGGGAGGGAAACTTCTAGTTCCTTCAGGAAATTTTAGACCTTATATTTACATTACTATCACATAACCAATGCTCGGCATTATTGATTACTATGTAATCGTAGTTTAGGTAAACAAGAATTTGTCAGTTTTACGACACCGCGTTGCTTTGAGTTACAGGATTTAGAAGGTCGTATTATTAGATGCAGCTAATGCTTTTTCAAAGAGGAACATTATTCAGGATAAAGTTTTTGGCATTAATCAATCCCGTCTGAGAGGTGCACCCCCGCACTCGACTTCCACAGAATTGTAGTGGCGTACCGGAGCGTGGATGGCCCACAACAATGATTGCGGTGGACACCCGATATACAAGTCAGTGCTTTTACCCGAGTCCGGTATCGATTCCGAAGGCATGGCATGCCTGGATGCTTGGGTATCTATCGATCGTCTGACTGTTTGGCTACTTTCAGAGTTCGACGACCGTCCGTCCGTCCGTCCGTCCGTCCGTTCAGCGCGTGCTGCGACGGCGGTCGCTAGAGTAGTGTTGACAGCGCTGGCAAGTGATCCAGTGTGTCGACAACGGTCAGGCGCCGCCGTCGCAGCACGCGTCGAACGGACGGACGGACGGACGGACGGATGAATCGTTGAGGTCTGAAAGCAGCCTTTGGCTGCTTTCATAGTCAGCGATTTGGCCCATGAGCGAGGAAGCGACGGGGGACTACTCGTTCAGCGGTGTCGACCAGATTCAGTTGTAAACGGGGAGCAAGCGCAGCCCTCGTCGCTCGCGGGCCAAATCGCAGACTATGAGAGCAGCCTTTGTGCTGTACAGTAATGCTAGGCGTCAGATTACAGTACTTGCAAGAGTACGCAAATGCACAGGTGGCCGTTTATACTTCGCGAGCGATACCGCGCGTTCCTTGTAAAAAGACGTTTATCTTATTTGTTCCTTTTTCGGATGTGGGTAGGTAGCTCAAGTACTCTCTCACCCTCTCTCTCTCTCTCCCCCCTCCCCACCCGATTGATAAGTATTTAGTTCCGATAACTCGATTCCTTTACTCGCATTTAGTTCGAACACCTCAAGCCTGAGCCAACCGCGATTCTCTGCCCCTCTGCACACTGACCTGCTGAGGTAACTGGACTAATGCTAACAACTCCGATTTTCTCGCGGGTTTCCTCGAGGTTGCAGCTGCTTTCTGCATTTAGGTATGGCCCCTTGTTAATGCTTCAAAGTTGTTTCGAGTTTCTTATGAAAGATTATTTTTCGTGTTGATCGTGAACTTCTGTTTGTTATCGCTTAAAGTGTTAGTTTGCTTGTTCTGTCCGTTCTGGAAGCTGTCGTGAATACATTATTTATGGTAAAGCTTGCGAGCAATAATTGACACTCAATTTTTAGCTATTTAGGGTCCATTGAATTGTTCACGTTTTGGGTGATGGCTGAGCTGCTGTGGCGATGTGATCTTTGTTCGGACCTGGTTCTCCATAGGATGATTAGCAAGCACTTGCAAGAAGGTCACAACTTTCCCGATGGTGAAGCTCAGCAAGTGGAAACAGACATTGCAATTGAAACTGCCTCAAATAGCAGTGGTCCTGTCAATTCTCTAGTAACCTGTCCCTCATGCGGAGTGGAAGTTCTGGATCATGTGGGTCTGGCAAGACATTGTGAACACCGTCACAGAGAGGACAGCAGTTATAGCGAACCACAAGATTATTCAGTGTTCACCGCGCATTTTTCAACGTTTCAGAAATATGAGGTTTGTTTATGACAAAAGTGCTGCCAACTTTGTTACTATCGGCATACCTGTTCTTTCAGGAGTGGTTGGTGGAGGAGTGTGATCGCACATGTACACGGTTCATTGATCATACTAAATATGGTGGAGCGTTGTTTCACCTGAGGTAGTTCTTAGGTACATTTTTTTCCAAAAGCGTTAAATGTTTGTAACAGTAGACCGAGGCGGTTACTTTCTCGCGTGACCCAAGTATTGTGTGGTATGAGGGACAAATTAAACCTCGATTTTTTTATTCGAGCGGATTTTTGCGAAGAACAAGATTTCCATTCCGTATTTCTGTTTCCCAATCTGGTGACAACTGAGAGTCAGAGAAGGGGAGTCTGTGATCTTCCCTGGAACTGTCAGAGAGGTGAAATCATGTACCTCATCAGGTGGATTACTCCGTATTTTCGGTCTTTTACCCTAAAGTCAATTTTTTTAAAGTCAATTTAATGAATCGTAACAATTTCTACGTGCTTGACCCACGAGTTTGCAAACAATTGTTCTTAAAGATAGGTTTTTGCATTAGCTTTTTGGCGTTGAAGTTTGTGATCCATATATTGGCCCATGGAGCTTGTGATGGGCGAAGTGCAGACCCAAAACAAGCGCTTAATGCGAATAGTGGCGGTCTGTTAGCCGTGCACTATCTTACCTGTGGTTTTTGCGAATTCTTAGTTACTTCTGATATATAAAATTGGCCCTTCAAGCGGTATCAACCATGGTTCACTAAGCGAATATCATCGCAGAGAATGTTCTATTGTTTTTTAGGTGTAACCGAGGAGATGACGATCCATGCGAAAAGCAGAGAACAATATGCTCTTGTTTTCTGAATGTACGCATCAGCGGGATCGGTCCAATCATTGTTCATGGATGCTTCGGTCATATTGGTCACAAAGTTGATGTCTCACTACGTAGTTTAACTTTTGATGAGGAATTGTTCCTTAAAACTCTTTTAGAAGGTACGGAATTTTAAGTCGAAAGCTTACTTTAATACCGTTGTAGGAGCCCAATTAAAGTCATTTAGAGTATTCAATGGATCATGTACTTGCATTGCTCAAACGAGATTTTTCTTTGAAAGCTTCACGGCTTGCCCAAGTCACTCGAGAAGATCTGTGCGACATCTTGAAGAAATACCAACTTATTCCTATTTCATGTGAACCTATGGAGGGCTCAGAGGCCTGCATAGAGGAAAGCAAATTTCTTCATGAAACGGTTGTAGATGAGGAGTCTCAATATTGCAGTCTTGAACTGGTAATGTTTTTTTAACCACATTGCTTGTTTCATATTACACTAGTTGTAAGTAATCAAGGATGTTCCTGATGAGGAACTGCGCGAACCGGAGAACAATGGTTCAGAAAGATCGAACAATTTGTCGTCAACCTCACAGCAGACTGCAGCATTCATAGGGGGATGGGAACAACAGAATTCGGTAAAGGATGTAAGAGTATCCACTAAACAAGGGATCTCGGAGTCTTATGGATCAAACGATTTTGTCATAAAGAGTGATATGATTGATAACGAATTCTTTGATGATACAAGAGGAACTTCGATGACAGAGTCGCTTTCGCCAGAAGAGAAGCAGTTTTCAAAAGGGCATAGCGTAAAACCAGAGACGAACGACTCTACAGAGGATGAAAATTCCAAGGTAGGTGCTTTAGAATGCTTTTTTTTTNTTTTTTTTTCAAGATGAAAATGAAGTTCAATTGTAGCCCTCTCGATCGCAAGTTGATGAAACGACGAGCGCTTGCGCGGAAAGCGAGCGAATCATGGTATGATCTGTTTTGCAGGTCTTCTTTTTTTGACCTTAATTTGACGGTTTGCATTTTCCAGATGGCGTTTTTATCAAATAGAAAGCGTTGGAGGTGTTACCTATGCTCTAGAGTGATGGTCCGAAGGTTTATACAAACGCATCTGATAGGTATTCACAAACTTACACAAGAGCAACTCGAACAAGTCCTTTTGGATCTTGCAAGAGGAGAAATTGAGGAGATTCAAAAAGCCAAAAGAACCACGATGCGGTGTCCTGTTTGCGAAGAAAAGGTCAAAAATCATTTTGCACTAGCAGTGCACTGTGATAAGTTCCACAGAGATAGTGGGGCTGACGGTCAGCCGCAAGACTATACTGTATTCAAGAAGAGCTTCGGATCGAATGCTGTTTTTGAGGTTAGTACAGAAATAATTGGTTGTTTATCTTTTTATCTGGTAGTTTGTTGCAGGAATGGCTGAGCGAACTGTGTGAGCGGACGACTACGAGCTTGATACGTCGAAATGTTAAAGGATGTTCGTATCAGCTGAGGTGCCACCTTGATTTTTTTTGCCAATTCGTTGCTCGTAGTAGCAAAGGCGGTAGAAGAGTCGGGGTGACCATTAATCTACCCACGTTGGTCACATTGGTCGCTTTGATACTTAGGAGTTGTATCATTTTATGCGTAGTTCATACGTTCTTTGAGGCTAGTCAGTATTGATAGCGCTGTTCGAGTTAGACCTACTAATCGCTGAGCTATCAAACTGATTTCACTTTAGTAGTTGGCTTTTATCATAAACGGGACGAGGGAATGCCTATGTATTGCTGAGGCGAGGCTATGCGCGGCGAAGACAGTGGACTAGTGTACAAAATCATTCGGGCAGTTTTCACAAATGATCAGCAGGGTATCATGATCTCACTCGGGCATTCGGTCAGTCTATGTGACAATGATAGTCTTTCGATAGATGAAGGAGCGAAACTGAATAAAATGATCGTTTACGACCGGTTAATCCTGGCTGACCATGAACTGACTTCATCGGTAATCCGACAGTATTTTGTCAAACAGTCCAGTCGACAGCAGTGTGCTTCTTCAACACGGTTTTAGAAAGCCTTTCAGATGTCCTCGTGTTGGAAGGTATAATAAGACAGAATCGAAGAAGACTCCCTCAAAAAGAAAGTACACAATCAATTGCCCATGCTTTTTGAACGTAAATTTGAGCAAAACTGGTGGAATCACAGTTTATGGGTGCTTTGGTCATGCAGGCCACACTGTTGATGTCACTCTCCTACGTCTCAACCAAACTCAAGTGCTACTTCTCAAACGTCTTCTGGAAGGTAGGTCATTACCGGATATTTGTTAATCTAGAATAAGTAATATGGTGGATATTTTCAGAGTACTCCGTAAATCATATTATCAGATTACTGAAAGAACAGTACCCAACGAAAACTTCAAGGCTTGCCCACGTTACTCTAAAAGATCTGCAAAATGTTGCGAAAAGATATGGACTCAAGGTCACAGAGTACGACGAATGCTGCAATGAGCCTAATGATGAGCTGCCTGTTGATCAAGCAGAGGACAAGATACTTCGTGGAGGCCACGTTTCGCAGCAAAGGAAGGTTGGAAACTGCAAGGTATGGTGCCAACGGAATACTTTTATATGCTTTACTCATGCTCAGTTAGTATTGAATAGCCCTAGCCAATGTGCACTATATACATGATTTGCTACAAACATGTTTCGAGTTTTTGTTGTGTTTCTATCCCGATTCAAGTGTTTGAGGCAGGCGACCTCGTTTCGGATGGTTCACAAAACAGTGCCGTTGTAAGAGAAAGGACCTCGTTAAACGTCACACTGCTGGAAGGCGCAGAAAGGTATTATGAAAGCCCTTATCTTAAAGTAGAGCAGGGGACCTATGTCTCAACCCCTGCTATGAGTCAAACTGGAACGGAAGTTTCTTCATCAGTAGAAAACTGTGAGCGCATCCATCTAACGTGAGCGCTCCAGACAGCAGACCTGAGGAGCCGATCATAACACTCACAAGACGTTCGGTATTTGAAGAGACAATGGAGACTGTATGAACTTAATTTTTCCATTTTGCATGCAGACGATGTTGAGGTTTCCCTAAACACGTGTACAAAATTTTACTTAAATACTTTAACTAGCCCAGTTGAGCATTTTTCTTACTTGTACAGTTTTTCATGTTTTTCTCTAGACTTTGGATGTTTTTATTCAGCAACGGGTAAATTTTCTTTGAGTCTTTTATCCATCCACTGTACTTTATGCCCTAATGTTATCAATGGTGCGTTTTCGCTTCTTATAAGCTCCAGGCTTGTTTTATACTCAGAAGGTATAATCGTCAGGAATTGCTGTTGTTGCTGCTTTTTATTGGCTTTTGAAATTGTGTTTTATAGTGTTTACAAATTTAGAGAGCTGATAGATATATTGCTAATAATCATTATGAAGATCTCGAATGAATCCTGATTTCGCGAAAATCGACTTCGGTTTGATTGAGGAAACGGCCATCATAGAGCGTTACTCGCTATCAATATTATGGAGTGAATTCTCATTCATTGCAAGGCAATATTCTCTTCTAACCGTCACTTATTGTTTGTGGTGGGGATGAAAAGTAAGGATTTGAATCTTTTAACAAAGAGTTCGCCTGAATGGGATAAAGATTGAGTAAACTGTAGAGATGGAAGGCAAATCGAAACAAACCAACTTAAAGATTTACTCTTTCTTGAAAATTTCATTTGAATCTCATCCTATCAGGTTGGCTATAGTTATAGAGATCAGAGGCCAATGGGAGAGGGACAGCCAGCTGGATCGGTCAAGGTCAGTGACGTCAGTGCGCTTCAGCCTTTTTCTGATCTAAAATCGTAAAAATATGGCTTAATAGCTGTCGGTCTGTGTGACCCTCTGAACACCTGCTGGTATTAGGTCGGGAATCGGACTATCTAAAAAACCTGACTAAATATCTTTATTATGGAAAAATCAAGCTTTGATGAATAAATGGAAACAGTTTGATCAGAAAACAGGAAATCATTCCCATGGACTAACGCTTTTTGACTGTCTGGCACCCTTTTCTTACCTTTGCTTTGTGCTTATCTAATCGGGGCTCCCACCGAAGTGGTAACCTCAACCTAGCAAAGCAGTACAACTTATCAGACAAACTGCTTTCATTCCTTGCGTATTCACATTGTAGACGTGCGTTTTGCGTTAGTCAGAGCCCACTGCTGTGAATCGATGCCGATAATTTGTCTCTGGGTGCTAGGTAAGGAGGTGAGCGTCGGGAAACGGACATCTGCCATATAACAACGCAACAACTGGAGACAGCCGCTCGGCTATACGAACACAATCCAATATCTGGTTGCTGCAGTACCCGCTTATTACTTGTCAAGAAATCTGCATTCTTATTCATGGTAAGGAATGGTCTATTGTAGATCTGCTTGTTTTGTAGCAAGTATTGTATTCTAGGTAGCGACCTCGCAGGCCGTCTGATATTCACACTGTTGTTTTTAATGGAAGACGATATCACGAGTCATGCTGCCTGAAGATTTGCAAAACGTTCACTCACTGGCGAAAGAGCAGATCAATCAAACAAAACTTGGCATCAAACCGAAGAGCTCTAGGAAACGTTTCATATGCTGTCCCGTTTGTGGAGAGGCGACTTCGGATCCGTTGAGTCTAGCGAAGCATTGCGACAAAGTGCACAAAAGTGATGGAGCTGAAGGGGAGCCGCAAGACTATACCATTCAAAATGTTACTTGCGATACGTATACAGAATTTGAGGTAGGAATAGTGAAAGGTCCTTTTCCGTCTAGCGGTAGTTATTCAACCTTTGTAGAAATGGCTTACGGAGCAGTGCGATCGTACATGCACGACTTTTCTACGGCGTTCCAGTCGGCCGCTTCCAGGAGGAGGAACTTCACATACGTTGAGGTTATTTTTTGAGTCACCTCTTTACTAGCCACCTGAATATTTCTTGATTATTTATGATTCCTATGATTTTCTAGACAACGATCAGGGCTGAGGGTTAAGCAAACACTTGTTCATAACCATTAAGGTGGCGCCAGCACATATTAGTTATGAAGTAAGGCTTCCATGAGGGTTTTGTCTACTTCTATTCTATTTCTGCGCCTATACAGTAATAAGAATTATGGCTACCTCCATGTTGTCTAAGGCATTGGGAATCGCTGGCAATCAATCAACGGGCTCTGGAGCAAATATTTTCAACTCTGCCGCCTGCAATATAGAACTTCTCCCCAAAGACTGATCACGCATTCTCATTCTAAGACACTGTCCAATCTTGCTGGCTGAAAAATTTCGACGTTCAGAAAGCTAATTAAGTCTACTTTTGAGCTTCTTTAGATGTCACAGAGCTGTATCTTCTGCGGGCAGTGGTTTGAGAAGGTTAAGGCCAAGCAAGAAACCGAACGAGATGTGTTCATGTTATTTGAACGTACGCGTGGACAAAAATGGAGTGGTTACTGCCCAAGGATGTTTTGGCCATGTTGGTCACAAAGTCGAAGTGACTCTTTTCCGTCTATCTAATGAACAAGAAATGTTCTTGAAGGGACTTTTGGAAGGTATGAATTTATGGTTTTCTGAAGATTTGTGCTCTTTTTCACAAATGTGATAGTATTCAGTGCATTCCATCGACTTTGTTTTGGACCAGTTGAAGCAAGACTTCCCCTCAAAGAACTCACGGCTCTATCATATTACTCGCGATGAGTTGAGGAATATTCTGCATCGACACAAAATTACTCCCGTCCCCCACGAAAGTCACTATGGGGGCTTATCATTAGTAAATGAGGAAAACAACAGTCAATCAGATTGCAATGTAACAACGAATCGCAGTAATGAGCTGTGTCACACTAACAAAAGCACGGCTTCCGAGGTATGGATCACTTTAAAATATTGATCATGTCGGAACCATCAGATCTTCGTTATTTAGGGATCAGAAGATTCAAAGGATCTCCAGGGAGAGGTGCCGGTGATGCACTGTATCACTTCAGACATGCAAACGGTTGAAACTGATGCTTTACTATTCTCTGACGACAAGCCCGAAATCTTCCCCGAAATTATGGACTCGTCATGTTCGCAAGAAGAATCGTTGTCGCAAAACCTCTCAAATTTACCTGTCAAAGGCGATGCCATCGATTCTTTATCGGAACTACCAGAGCACCAGTCTTCAGCTACGTCTTCATCTTCGACTTCTCATTCATCCATTGAATTTCAAGAGAAGGGGGAGCAAATCCCCCAAAAAGAACTCTGGCGCTGTGATATTTGCTCGAAGACGATGTTACTGAAGAACTTGTACATTCATCTACGGAGAGTTCACGCTTACACAAGAGAAAGTGTTAACGAAGTTAGAGCTTACGTAGTACGAGAAGAGCGCAGAGCAAATCGCTTCCCTGAAGCTCCGCGAATGTACTGTCCTATATGTGGAGTAGTTGTCTTCGACCATGTTGTTCTAGCCAAACATTGTGCCACTTTTCACAGCAACGACGGGGCTGGTGGCGATCCGCAAGACTACACGGTGTTTACCAAGTCTTTCGATTCATATGTGGAATTTGAGGTGGTTAAGTCGATTTGTGAGATATTGTTTACATACACAAATATATATATATATATATATATATATATATATATGTTAATCTATGCTACACCTTTCGTGAAATCTACCGTTGTTGTAGAACTGGCTGCCTGAAGAGTGCGAAAGAACCTGCTCAAGCTTCTTCAAAACTTCAGGGAAGAAAGGAATGCTTCGTTTGAGGTAGTGGAGCTTTCTTTCCCTGTCAATTTCATTTTCATTGCATGTGGATTAAAACATATGAATGGAGTGATGGGATGAGGTATCAAGGCTGTCAGCTCAGTCTTTGGCCCATTTCTATCGGAAATGAAAAGTTTCAAGTGTGAGGGATGAGCTTTTTTGTCGAGGTCCAGCGGTCATCTCCGACTACCTCTTATTTCTGGGATCTCTCCCAAGTAGTTCTAATTTACGTAGGTCAATTTATCTTATAAGTAAAGAGCTCCTGCAGCCCTTTCGATCTACATGCTGGTTTTACTCTTCGTAGTTCATGACTTCCACATATTTTCAGATGTAGTAGGGCTGGTCGATATGTCTGTGGTGCAACAAAAAGGCTTAAACCGACCAAAAAACAGACCAAAAACTGCTCGTGTTTTCTGAATGTGCGTGTTGACGAGTGCGGAACAGTTTCTGTGATTGGATGTTTTGGTCATGTTGGTCACAAAGTGGACGCTGCTCTCATACGTTTAACAAATAAGCAAGAAATGTTTCTCAAAAACCTCTTGGAAGGTATGAAATATGTTTGTTGCGTTAACATATCTCATAACCGTAATTTTCGCTTTCAGTGTACCCAATAGGTGATATCCTTTTGCACCTGAAAAAGGACTACCCAGCAAAAACGTCACGGCTCCATCATGTTTCTCGAGCTGAGCTAAAAAATCTTATGAAGAAATATCAGCTCAAACCGGTTCCTTATGATAACGTTGAAAGACAGATTTATAGAATGAACGGAGAAAACTATTCCTCCACAGAAACTGTAGAGGAGCAAACCAGTGAGGCCAGCCCCGTCAGCAAGGTATGTCGTTTTGTACGCTTAGATAGTCACAAGGAAGAGAAGGCAAGGGAAAGGAAGCTTCGCGCTTGGTGGGTACCAATGTCCCAACATCGGTTAGGTATTCGCCTCAGAATTCCTTGTCGATATAACATAGTGGGTGCAAATAGCACAGGAAACACCCGAGTCATATAGACGCGGGTGTCGGCGATGTTGTCTACCTTGTATTTCATGTTCTTCGACCCTTTGCTAATTCAAAAGCGAATGGCCTTCCTTTCGAAGACATTAGAACTTTGTTAGTCGTAGTTGTGACTTTCTATTATTGCATCCCACCAAGCGATCTCCGGAAGTTGTCTCTTCTGCTCATCGGCGATCTATTTGCCTATACTTAAATCACATTGCCAAATATATATTGATATATTCAAGTTGTATGTTTTATTGATATATTCAAGTTGTTTTATTGATATATTCAAGTTGTAAGTCAAATTAAGCTCAAACACTTAGTCAATGTTCAGGCTTATACCTTCGAGCGCAATCCACAAGCTTCTTTCTATACAGTGAGCATAGCTGAGAAAGAGCTAGTACAAGGACCTGTGATGAGAGTCTCGTGTCATGACCGCGATCGAGACGTTAGTCACGTCGACAAAAACGTATCCAGGCCACTTGCTGAATCAGCGGTGACGTTGAGCTCTTCAGAATTATCCCAGAGACACGGTGAGGAGGTATGTATGTAGATGTTCTACTGGAAAGGCTTCACTTTTCAGCAAATGTTGTAAAGTTGAGTAAGTGTAAGCCTTTGTAATGTTCTGCCTGAGCAGGCAACGTTTATGCATATCCATTGCAGCACGTGGACAACAGTGTGAACGGAGATAATTCAACCCATTCATATCCTTCCTTGCGAATCAATCTCAATCGGAAACTACCGATCCCCAGAATAATAGTCGGAACAAAGCTAACTAAAGTCAAAATCCGCTTGGTGAGCTATACATAGTGATTTAGTACTGAATAGAAAATGAGATCGGTTATTTCAGCCTCTTCCGTTACCAAAAACTGTTCAACGCCGGCTTAATCTCCCTTAATCCTTCACAAACACCTGGAAGCCTTGCACAACGAAATTCGTAGTTGTTTTGGACTTGAATAGAATGAGAAGAATTTGTATTTTTGTTGTTTATAATATGCTCACTTGGTTGTTATGGGAAGATTCAACCTTTAGGCTTTACTGGTACCATATTGTTCAGGTCTTTGAAGCGTTTGGATTTTTATTTTTGTTCATTTTTCCATTGTTTTTATTCTTTGGCAAGTCTTTTTTACCTTTAAATTTGTTTTGTTTTTATCAAAAAAGATGTGTTGTTTTCCAACGTGGTTTTTTTGTGGTTAGTGATTTTCTTAATTGTTACCTTGAACAATCTGTGCAGATGAACTCAATACGAGTAAATTTCAAATAGAGTATCAAGATATATTGAAATGGATTTGTCAACTTTGTGAAATATTCACGATATGCAGTCGCTTATAAGCGGCACCATTGCATTTTCATGCCAACAAAGCAGCAAGACGAAAATTACAAGCATTTTCATTTTTTTGGATGGCGATTCCATCTAAGTCTACGGATTTTTAGTTGTATTATTAGCGCCAATGTTTGTATCCCATGAGTACTTTCGAATGAAGATTATTTTAGTAATGTATGAAGGTCATTGTATCACTGAGGAATGCCATTATTACTTACATCAATTTACTGTATATGTTTTCCATTCGTTTCTAAATATCGACTGATTCTAAGAAATGGAGGTTATCCAATCGTTCTGTTGCTGGAAATGAGCTATAGGGCTGCTACCTAATAATAGAAGTAGGTGATGTGAGGTCTCCAATTAATTCTACGCACTTTTTTTTTCAAATACAATGCAATCAATGCCTTCGTGGTGTAGCAAGAGTGAAAATGGGACTGTCCTCATGAGAAATTCTGGAAAGCCTTTTGTCTTACGGAATTTAGGCTATCTCTGCATGCGGAACTCCAGATGATATGGTATGATGGTCTTCTGATTTCAATATTGCTTCAGTTTTCCTTCCCTTTGTTATTTTTTCATTGCGTTGAACACTTTGTTGTGAGTATAGTGAAGGCCTTTTCAACCCTCCNTCCTCCTCTCCTTTTCGAAAAACTGGTTGAGTTGGTCAAGTTGAGGAGAAATCACGGCATATTTCAGGGAGGGAAGCTTCGAAAAGCATGTTATTCTACTTTTGCTAGTCTTTTGTAGAATAGAGTTTTTTCCAAATCAAAAGAAAATCGTTTTCAGAAGATGGTCTCGTCTAGTGCCGATCTATGGCGATGTACTTTGTGCAGAAAAGCGCTAGTTAGAAAAAGACTCTATGCACATTTACAAAACGTTCACAATTTTACTAAAGAAGAGGTCGAAATGGTGAAACGTGATGTGGCATTGGAAGCGAACTCGACAAGAGAAAATAACCAAAAATGGAAAGTATCCTGTCCAGAATGCGATGAGAAGCTTCCGGATCATTTGAATTTGGCAGTGCATTGCGACAGATTTCATAAAGACTATAAAGGCTGTGGACAATCGCAAGACTACAGAGTATTTACCACCACTTTCAACTCATATGCTGAATTTCAGGTATGTTTATTGGATTTTTTCTTGCGAATTTCATTGTAAAGTTTTGGTATTTTTGAGATAGGCCCGATTTATAGGGTAAATCCAACTTATCACTGTGAGAAATCATAGGTACTCATTGTTTATAAAGTTTTGTTGACTCTGAATGCATCACTGTCTTGTAGTTTCCCTTGAGAAGCTTCTTGAGGTCTTAAGAACTTGTTCTCTAGTACCTTCTGCATAGCTATTCCTCAATAGAGCCTAAGCTATCCAGGCACCATCACAATATTTGATGAATTTTAGATATGGCTCAGTAGTGAAAGTGAACGCACGTGTACTAGTTTGTTTCGTCGATCAACTTCACTGAAAGGAAATACATTTACTTTAAGGTGGGTATGATCTGCAATCCTTTTTCGTCCATGTTATACAAACATCAAGTAGAATCATCAGTGTTTACAACTTTTCTATCCTCTATCCCCGAAAATTTAGCAAGACAGCATTTGTGGAAGTCGTCTACCTCAACTTCTACCATTTTTTTCTCATCCAGTTCACCTTTTTTTGAGACATTTTTATTAAACTCTTTCACCAATTGACGGTTCTCTTTTAGATGCCACAGAGCTGGAAGGTACAAGCCAAAACAACGAGTCCGTACACACGCAAGCAAGAAACAGACGAAAAACTGTTCATGTTACTTGAATGTACGCATAGACGATGATGGGGTGGTCAGTGTTGAGGGATGCTTCGGTCATATTGGGCATAAACTGGAAGTATCCCTTCTCCGTCTATCGGCTATGCAGGAGCTATTTCTCAAGGATCTTCTGGAAAGTACGGTAGCATACTTTATATTTGGATCTCCTCTGAAGATTTTAAAGACCTATTCAGAATACTCCATGGATTCCATTCTCCAGCGATTACAACTTGAATATTCCTCAAAAACATCGCGGCTCGGGTTTGTTGATCGGAAGGATTTGTGGAACATTGCGTACAGGTATCATATTACCCCAGTACCAAATGATGGTGGCTGCCCGGAGCACTCTACGTGCGAACAAAACCGTTCTACTAGTACCGTAGTGGAAGAGCGAGATTGTGACACCAGTACTTCTTTTGCGGTACGACTTTCCAGGAAACTTTTTCTCAGGGTTCGTCTTAGATCGATAGCAATACCAAATCTGTTTAGGAGCATTCATCTGAGCATCATGAGACGGATACGGAAGACTCACGAAGTTCCACAATGTCTGAAGCATCCGAACATTTCTCTGAGAAGGATGACGACTCATCACTCCACGAAAAACATCAGGAAGCTGTTGGCTCTTCGGGAGGAAGTGCTCCTACTAAGCTCGTTCCTATGACGGGAACGACTTTATCGCAGAAGGCTTCAGCGTCTACCACAACTGCCAATAACCGCAGTGAAGCCCCTTCGGTGACTAATCGTCTTTGTGGAGCACCACCTCTCTCCTCCATGTCACGAAGGATTGTAGTACCTTCGAAGAGGCTTGAACCGCCCCATTCAATAAGTCTGGCAGATGGACAACGTTCACATGGACAAGGATCCTCATATCTGCCTTCAGTGGGGACTGTAGCGCAACCTAGGCGGCAGGAAAAACTGTGTCCCCCAAGAATAGCAGATGAGTATCATCCTGAACTAACGCCTTTGCCCCCTCCTTCGAGGTTTACTACAGTGTCATTAAGTAGGCTGGAACCGCCACATTCGATTAGCCTCACAGATGAGCATCGTCCTGTACCAAATGCCTCGTCCCTTCCATTACAGAGGAGAGTCGTGCCGATCACACGGCAGAGCGACTCAGATAGGACAAGAATCGAAGAGGAACATCATTATTGCATGAAAAGTTTGCCATCAACTTCACAATCGACCATAAGACTGCCAGTGAAACAAGGACAGCGAAATCCTGTGAAGGGGCCCCCTCAGGTTTGTATGAATTGTGGGGAGATCAGTCAAATTTTACCTTCGATACTCTTATTTCAGAGACATATCACAATTGATACTGAGGGAATGTTCAGCGAACTGGGAGGGAAGCAGAACAACGTTGATCTGCGAGGTGAACCACAAATTGAAGATTCAGAAAAGACGGAGCCATCGCCGCAGGTATCCGCAAATAACTTTGATGAGGTTGTAAACGTGCTTTTATAAAACATAAACAAAAACGGGGGGGGGGGGGGGGGGGGGGGGTAGGGGGTAGTTAACAATAAGTGAAAAGTGAAAATGCAATTCGAGGAGCAGATTAACAAAAATGGGGCAATAGAGGTAGCCATCAAGTTTGGTAAGATAGTTAGCCATTAATCCTCTTCAAGATCTGCCGACTATGATGGCCTTGACCCCCGATTGAGACATTACGACTGGCTAAGGAAGATATCTTAGTTATCTTAGTTACCACTCAGCGCCATACCTGATGAAGGCAGTGGTGATGTTCGTCCCAGTTTTCGCGTAATATTATAAAATGTGTTATTGTTTTTGATTTCATTTTCTTGGCTTTCGTTGCCCTGTAAGTCAACAAAGACTGTGAACCGTCCTTTACTCTTCATAGGCTTTATTTAAAACTGGTTGCCAATGTCCACCCTTTCTTCTGGTATAATACCCGTTCTCTATTCTAGTTCATATTGCTTTCCTTTTCCTGATGAAATCTGGTAGCATTATCGCCGCACGAGGGAGGAAGAACGGGTCTGGGTGGTGTGAGATAAGCCTATGAGCTTTTTCTGATGTTCAAGCATGAGCATTAGGGTTGCTTATCACTGAAAGATCACTACTTTATATATGAAACCGGTTTCCCGACAAGGAAGCCCGTTTAGGCATCATTATCTCAAATACCTGGACTGCAAATAGTATGCTGGTAGTTCCGCCTGTAATTGGTACCAAGTGAGAATTGGTAGTCACGGTTGAGGTGACCATACTGGGCGTAAGTGGGAAGCAGTCAAAAAGGAAAGAAGCATTACCAGGTACCTAATAAATAACTAGCGAGCATGTGGTAACCTGGAGAGCAGAGGGAAGTACAATGGATCACTGCACCACAACTGACCGCAGGGTGATTTATTGCGGTGTATGTCGAGATAATACAGCGAGCGTACCATTTAACATCATTTTTTGAATATTTTCTTCAAACAATGTAATATAGGGTTTTTTTTTNTTTTTTTTTCAGAAAAAAGTCCCACCACGAGAAGAGCTTTGGCGATGCAAACTTTGTAAGAGAGTGATGCTCAGAAAGAGCCTCTACATTCATTTGCAAAAAGTTCACAATTTCAACAAGGAACAGCTCGAAAGCGTGAAGCGCGATATCGCTCAGGAAATGGCTTCGTATGACGAACAAGGAAATGCTCGTGTAACATGTCCGATATGTGGAGAAAAGCTTTTGAATCATGCAGGTTTGGCAGCACATTGTGAAAGAGATCATCAAAATGATGGAGCTGAAGGCGAACCACAAGATTACAGGCTATTTACAGTGACATTCAATTCTCGTGATGAATTTGAGGTGAGTGTGGTGACAGATGGTTTTATTGTTGGAACCCACACTGGTCCGAATCATTTCTGATTGAGAATGCACCAAGCAATTATTGGTCAAAAAGTAGTTTTTGCCTGTAGTTTTATTGTTTTAATCTGAGCTGTCTTAAAATGAATAACTGCCTGATGAAAAAACTGTTACCATGAATTTTGTCGTATTCACTTTGTAGAAATGGCTTTGTGATGAATGTGAACGTACAGCTACAACTTTTGCTCGCCGCTCAAGTTCGAACGGTGGCGCTTCGTTCTCTTTGAGGTGAATGTTTACCCCATTTTTATTTTTAGCTTTTTGGAGTGATTGTAAGCGATATGACGACATGTGTAATACATTCGAAAGCTGCTATGACGAGGGACGGTAACCTTCTATTGAGATCACTTCATAAGGCTTTAGTTTGCTAGTCTACCTGAAAGAATTTCTGCAATCGACGGCTTCAAACCGAATGTTTTACTAATCCAGTGGTCTTACGATGAGTGGTGATAAAAACTCCGTTCCTACATCACATGCAACTTTTGTAGAATAATTCTATAGTTTGTAATCAGTTGAAAAAAAATATTTTCACATCCAGAAAATTTACTGGATTTTGAGATCGATTGCATTATAGATGCAACAGAGCTGGAAAGTTTGTAACTAAATCAACGTGGAAAGCTTGTGGAACAAGGAAACAAGCAGGAAGTTGTTCATGTTTCCTGAATGTGCACACTAATGCAGCCGGTCTTGTCACTGCCCTTGGATGTTTTGGACACGCTGGTCACAAGATTGACGTGGCTCTCCTACGGTTGACATCCTCACAGGAGCAATTTCTTAGAGGACTTTTGGAAGGTATGACTATAGTTTTACTCTTATTTTCTTAGGATTATGTTATTCTCAACTTTTCTTATTTCTAGATCTTTTCCAGTTTTTTTCGTTAGTTTCTTTTAATTACAGAATGAATTTTACAGTGTACTCCATGGATAGTATTTTGGATCAATTGAAGATGGATTATTCGCCGAAAACTTCTAAACTCTACCACGTTACTCGTTGTGACCTTTGGAACATCGTCAACAAATACAATATTCCCACACCTCTGAAAGGCTCAAGAAAAAAGAGACAGGGGACCGCAGTTGACAAGAAGACTTCAGCGAAAAAGGTTAGAAATAATGAAATTACTGAGCCGCGTGAAATTACTTATACATGTTTATGAAACATTTAATCACAGTATTTCAACTTGTACGTAATTGAAAAATTGCCATAATTGTGCAGATAACAGCATTTGATAGGGATTTGATTTAAAGAGATGACAAGAAGCTGACAGTTACGAAAAGTATTCTAAATGAGCTGTTTAAAAAGTGTTGCTTCCTTAATTGAATAATAGAATTGCATTTAATATTTTTAATATGTATTATTAACATGTATTTATAAATATCTTGAGTTCTTTTTTGGCGAATGGTACAGTAAAACGGAGAGTCAGACGCTCTATAAAGTACGGAAATCGAAGTCCAGCAATGCGCTTAGTATAAACAAGAATCAATAAAAATCGGTCTGGTACATGAAAAGGCATTGGTTTTTTTCCCACTCGAATTTGGGCAGGAGAAGAGCCTGTCTTTTTGAAGGGTTACTCACGGGTAGTGTACAGGCCATGAAATCTTAAGATTGGGGAAATAGTTGTACCTAAAAATTTCAACGATAAATGAATGATCGATCAGTTCCACGAGCGACGAATTCGTCTTGGCTATGACGACATGCTGGATGTCTTATTTGTAGCCGTACAACAACAACAACATCGATAAGGAATGCCAATCCCACCAAGGCGCACGTGACCTAAAATTGAGGGCTATGTAGGTAAGACCTTATAGTGAAATAGCCCACGTCTGTAGTGGTGCTGGCAGGAGCGAATGGACACGATGCTGGTGATGAGTGGAGATCCACCCATTTGTTCAATATTTTGTAGTATTTGGTAGTAACAAAGCGATAAAAGAAGCATCTACCGATCGGCCGCGTCGCGACCGCTCGCTCCGTAGGCCTGCATTACTGCTCTGCTCTATCTATATTGGTTACATAAAAATGTACTTACAGTTCCAAGCCACCAAGCTGTATATTGCCATCGGAGACTGCTGTAGATCATCGTGATGCTATTGATAAGAAAAAGAAATGCAAACGAGCCGGAATAGATTGTTT